AGTCCGCCATTTTTTGATTCCCCTGTTTTTTCGTATTTTCGCGCGAAAATTGGTACGTGATGGACTGGGACGGTTTGGTTCAAACCAACCGGAAAATACTGTTCCATTCGCCACATGGAATACTCGAAATTTCGTTCCGGAATTTTTGGTCGAATGGAAAGCGCCCTGGGTCTCGCCGGTTGTCTCCTAATTTTGTTGCAATACAAATTGTGCAAAAAACTGATTAATAATGTAACATCAGTTGCAATGAACATGTTTCACAGTAATGCAAAAAGAAGAACTAACGTCCCAAACTAAAAAGTCACAAGAAGAAGGCTATGTTCACATTATCCCGGATAGCTTTTGCGTCGGTACGAAAACCATGCCAGATAAGGCTTCTGTTCGAACATGAGAGCGGTGATTTCGACGCAATTTCTGCAAAGGAGCGAGGCTACGCCGTGCCGATCTCTAAAGTGGAGGGCCACATTTCGGATAGGTGTTCATACTACAGTCCCGACTAATAATAATAATAATAATAATTATTATTATTATTTTTAATTTCGTGTCGGCACGAAATGCTATCCGGTATAGAGTGAACATAACCTAAATTCACTTTATAAAGCTGCGTCTACAGCAAATGGAGGTTGGCCGGCGGTATTTATGAGCTTCAAACTGATTGCATTTAGAAACTATTCCCTTACCCCTTATAGGTACGAGAAGATTGCCAGAGTAGGCGTGACTGGTAACTTTTTCTTTTTCCTCTCAAAGGCGTGGGGGAGACGATGATCGTTTCTCAGTTGCGTACAAAATGGCAGTCTTCACAAAATGACGCCGACTAATCTGCCAATGAATGCTTGAAGGAGACTCCCCTCAATGTTCATTTTCAGACCCGAAATTGGTTCCTCACGAGTTGGCTGGAAAACTAGAATTCTTGAAAAGCGGTACTCTAATTAACATACAAAATAACGGTGGATTTTTTCCTACTTTTTAAAGAAATATCTGTCACTTCGCTCTGATGTTCTTTTTCTTTCAAGTCACAGATAAAAAAAACTGGCAGAAAACGCGGAAACCAGTCACCCGGGCGCGATTAGTTTCAGGTTTTTAACAATGAACACTGTTTTCCTAAAAAAAAACCGCCATTGTTGTTTTGAAGTCGTTAACGTCTTTAGTTTAGCTTTAGTGACGGGAATAAGGCAGCTGGAAATAACGTGGGCCTTGCGGATGACTCGGAGTTTGCTAGTTAAATACAGATGCATGTCTTGTTACATCAAGTTTATCCCTTGCCTCTCTTCAACACTTCAAGCGCTGATCAGCCCGCCAGCGAACATTCCGGAAAGCAGATATTCGCCGAATTCAAACTAGAGGACATAAAAGGGTCGGCCTTATTTTATATCTTTACACCGGACTAGTGTAAAAATATAAAATAAAGCCGACGCTTTTACGTCTCAAGTACATGCGTCTAGTCGATATACAGTCAAACCTCTTTAATAAGGACACTGAGGGAGCTGTAAAAATTGTCCCTATTAACGAGGTAGGTGTCCGTATAAAACGGGTTAAATTTAGAGAAAATGTAAGGGCTTCTTTCCCTAGGGACAAAGAAAACTGTCCGTAATAATGAGGTGTCCATATTTAGCGAGTCTCCGTAAAGCGGAGTTTGACGATCGATGGATGAGAAACATCTTAGATCTCTCACACGTTTACACTAAAATGTGAATACCCGTCTAGTACATGTACACTTTTACATCCAGACTTTAAACCCCTCTGGACGTTTTGGCAGTCCTGTAGCTAGTATAAATACGGCCATTAATGTGAAGTTCCTGGAGAAAGACTATAGAGAACAGCTGACTCATACTGGTCTGTTTCTAGCCTGTGTGGCAGGCGCAAAAAGGGGAGGGGTAATCTCCATGCCTTTTGCCCTTCCTACTAATCCCCTCAGTACCCCTTTCCACGCCGCGGGACGGCGCAAATGGGAGTGAACAGAAAAGAAAAGCGGGGAGAAAGATGGGGAGTAAGGAGAGAGGTGATAAAGTTCTCTTCCCAGCTCGAGATGGCAGGAAAGCTGACGGATTGTCGGGAAATGAAGATATTTCATGATACTAAAAAACTATGCGTGCGAAAGGAACAACAGGTTGGAAAGAAAGTCATAGATTAATGTAGATCTAAGGGAAGACCTCCAAGGTCTTTTTGATGTAGTGCGAGATACTCTTGACTTAATGCCTCTTCCTCTCACTCTTACGTTTTTTTTATTACAATCACAATAATATTATCATTATTACTATTACTACTCATTGCACTATTATTGTTATTGTTATTTTCTCTTTCCTTCTTATTTCGCGCTACTCTATCTGACCGCCTGGAGTAGGCTAATATACTCTAGCCTGTGTACCTGGCTGTTTTTCGGTGTATTTTGTATTTTTTTTGGGGGGGGGGGGGGGTTTCGTCCTCGGCCAGTTCAGCTTTCGCGCGCTTGAATCTCTTACTTTACGAACCACAAATGAAAAAAAAAAAAAAAAATAACAATAAAAACCGACAGCTACCACTGGCTACGCAGGCTAAATATACTCTCATTGACCTATCGGTACAAGTGCGTTCCACTGTAGTTCAAAATATATAGTGGTTTAAACCCATTTATACAATCTTTATACAACATAACATTGCAACTTTATTTACAACTGTTAATTTATTTACCTGATACCAGCCTATCAGAGGAAACCTTTAGGGGACAGAAGATAGCTAAGAAGACACCAATGCAAAAAGAATAATGATAGTACTGATAAAGTAATATTATAAGTCATTGTGCATATAGATTATAAAAACAACCTCCTCCCTAAGGCTCTCCCCCTAGAAAATGGGAGGGGCGGAAAAATTCACTAAAATGTAACATTTATAACAATTATTTTAAAAAAATTATAACAGTTTGTAAAATCAAGGAGTCAAAACTCTACTAAATAAACTAGAAAATGTTTAAAATATTTTAAAAAGTCTTTTAAGACTTAAAAGAGCAAAACATTGGCGGATAATCTGGTACCCAGTGTTAACGAAGCAGACAACGAGAGATCTGGGTACGGATCTAGATCTTGAAGCAAGTGGGGGCCCCTCTCATCAAGACCCTAAGAAGAAAAGGGATCCGGCCTCGAAAATAACATTCTCAGCCTTGCAGGCTACAGTTTGGCCTAAATATAAAGTGGGGGCTCGGGCCCCTTCCCTCGATCCGTCAATGTTCTCTTTGACTTTGCACGTCCAGTTTAGACCATCTCTACGGATCACGGTACCTTTCCTTATTATTGATTTGTTAGTGCAGTATTAAAGGGGCTGTGCCACGCCTGTCAAGATCATTTTGTTAATATTAGGAATCACTCGTCCTTACTTAAAAAGAAACTTAACTTAAGCGAAGAAATTACTTGCAAATGACAAAATTACTACTTTATGTCGAACAAATGTCTCCTTAGCATTATATCAAAAAATACAGATAAAAAGAATGAACTTTGAAAAACTGGTGGGCTAATAAATTTTCAAAAACCACAGTTACAATCCGTTTCATCTTCTTCCAAGTTTTGTCCTTTTGTATTTGCTGTTATTTATACATTCTTTTCATGTTTTGAGCGATTATTTTTATGTCTCACTAAATTTGGTGGCAGTTACCACTGTTTGGAGTTTAATAAATTTTGTGGCACAGCTCCTTTAAATCTGCATACGTATGTAAAGTCCTTTTTTCTTTTTATAAAGTTATATATTGGATGACTTAGCACTGAAACTGTCGCTAACATTGCTGGATGATGACAACTTATTTTGCACCAAAGGGTGACAAATCCCCCAGCAGCTTTCGAGATTTCTCACCAAATCCCTTAAGTTACGCATATTAGCGTAACAGGAGAGACGAGGGAAAATAAGCAACAAAACTTGGTCGTAAAAATGTCACGACCATGTTAAACTAGACAAACTTAGCCAAAGTACCACGCTTCTTTAATTGTGGCTTACATTTATCATTGACATCTTCGCCTTGCTACCAACTCAAGGAATATTTTATTAGATTCTATTCGATTGTAAAAAGAAGAAGAGAACAAAACAAAAGCTGAACCTTTTTTCAAAGAGCATCTAGTTGCATCTACAAACTGGCAACAAGACTAATTAAATAAACGAGGAAAGTTCTTTGTCGATAATTGAGGCGCAAATACAAGAACAAGTAAAGTGCGCGGACAAAAAGTGGAAGAAATCTTCAGCATTGAAATCTTTCTTGTTCTACGTAACCATCATCATCCGATCAACGACTCATCGCGGGTAATTTGCTTGAGCTTCAAGATACAATGCTGGAGAAAGTTCTTCATGTAGTCATTTACCCATTTAGTCCCTACATAAAAATAACACAATGCGACTGGATATCCCGTTTAAGGTTCTCCGCCTCTAGCGAACTAATCGGATTATCTTCCGCATTCAAACAGATCAAACTGTTATTAATCAGTAGAGCATCTACCAATTCTACGGCTCCAGATTCAGTGATATTGTTACCGCTCACAATCAAGTGCGTAAGAGTACGATTTGATCGAAGTGCTTTTTCAAACGAGGATGCTCCCGAAGAGCCGATCGCATTGCTTCCCAACTCTAAAGCCTTGAGAGAACTGTTAGACTCAAGGGCTTTCGCGAAGGCTTCTGCACCCACACAGCTGATCTTATTGAAAGTCAAATCTAAATGGGTCAATTGAATAACAGTAGATTCCAGTGCTCTTGCTAAGGCTGCTGCCCTAAATCGCCAATATAGTTAGTGTGTAGATGTAAATGGGTCAGGTTGTGATTTGATTGCATTGCCTTTCCGAGAGCTTCTGCTCCAGGATCTGTAATCCTATTTTCACTCAGATATAATCGAGTTAGTGTGCAGTTTGATTTCAGACCTTCTCCAAGGGATGCTGTTCCAGAATCACCTATCGCATTGCCAGATAGATATAAATGACTCAAAGAGCAGTTTCTTGGGAGGGCCTCTCCAAGCGCTGCAGCTCCCGCGTCCCGGATCTCATTGAATGAAAGGTCTAAAAAGTCAGCGTACGATTCAAAAGAAGGGCTCTTTTAAGTTTCGACGCGCCAAAGGCACTAATTAATCTGCAGGGAACAGTGGTGAGAGAGATTTTATCAGAATCCACTGAAATAGTGGATCTTTTATCGCCCGGACAAATATGCCTTAAATCGAGGGTGTGTGAGAGAAGAATTAGATTCAAAGCACTAGCAAGCTCTACAGCTAATGGATCACTATCAACATTATCACTTAGATCCAGATACTGTAAAGTACAATTTCGTTTTAGACTATTTGCCAACCAACTGGCTCCTACAACACTGATATAATTTACCCTTAGACTAAGATGGGTTAAAGAACAATTTGATCGCAGAGCGTTAGCGATGCACATGGCTCCTAAATCACTGATGGACGCATTAAAAAGACTTAAATGTGTCAAATTGGGATTAGTGTGAAAAACCTCTACGAGTACTGCGGCTCCTTTACAACCGAGCATGACTCCCTTTAAATTCAAACGAGTTAAACGACGATACAACTTTAACAGGTACGCAAGTTCTTTGGAACCGACATCCACCATCCATGATTCCCGTTTACTGATATTTTCAATACGACTGTAAATGGGCTGCCAACCGGAAGGTGAATCAGGGCAGCGATCTCTCATATCCAGTGTGCCCTTGACGATCATGTAATCAAAATTAACGCACTCCAAAGTTAAGTGCTTTAAATTTTGTTCATGGTGCAGAGCCTCCCTAACTGTTGCTAACAAAAGCTCGTCAGCCTCACTGGTTCTCAAAAGTAAATTTGTCAGAGTGCAGTTGGCTTTCAAGTATTCTGAATAAACGATAAAATCGGGGCGGCCTACACCAAGGTTCAATTTTCTCACTGGAAAGCAGCGCGCCAGTACATGTACCATTTTCCTTTGGTTATCATCAAGTTTGTTTTCACCTTCTTCGCAATTAACAATGACGGCAAGTGTTTTAGTAACCACATCCTCCAAAACTTGTTCATCTTCACTCAAACGGTACATATTGACAGTCCAATCTTCAATTTCGCCCTCACAAGCCTCAAAATCCCAACTATCGACACTGGGTTTGACTGTGTTTCGTGGTCTTTCTTGGTAGAAAAAAGCACAAAGACGTGACACTACAAAAACGGCCATTTCACTTCTCTTTCTTAGGACCATTGTCAAGAGAAATTCCCACACCTGCCAGTTATCAACAGGACTGAGCTGAGCTAACAGGGATTTGGCTTCTCCTTTGTTTCCAGTAATGATTTGCTGAGCCAAGTAGAATGCAGCAAAATACTCCTGGAAAGTTTTGTGAGTAAAAGCATAGCATGGCCTTGGCCTGATTTTGCTCACACTAGGCTCACAGGAAAGAAACGGTAATTGCAGGAAATCAGTGGACTCGTCTCGACTGAAATACAACTGATTCTTCAACAGGGCCTCAAATGCCATTTCCCCCAACTGATTCAGCTCGTCTGAACATCTCTCAAAGGGATCGTCGTCACTCAAAGGCACACCCCTCTTGCTAAAATACCTTCTCAGAGCACAAGAGACAAGATCATCGTAAAGTTTCGTTCTACTGGAAGGGAAAATTCCCTTTGTCTCTTCACACAGAAGACACAACAAAGCTGTATTTAGTGGATTAGCCGTTAACTCTCTCAGCTCCTCGTCATATTCCAGCTGCACAATCATTCTTTCCGCAAGGCTTTGGTCCTCGTGCTTGCTGAAATACTTCTTGATGTAACTGTCGACGTCATCATTAGTATATCCGATGATTTCCAGAAGCGTATCACAGTATCGCCGTAGACTTCTTCCCGCTTCATGTCGAGCTGTTAAAACGAGGAAGGTGTTGGAAAAAATTTTGCCTTGAATCAATGGCTGAATGTACGGAAGCAGCTCATGACGTAATTCATCCAGACCATCGAGAATCAGTAATATTTTAGACTGATTTGAACGAATAAAATGGAAGAAGTCTTCTTTTTCCTTCTTGCCTGCGTCTTGTGGAAGCAGCTGATCATCAATAGCTTCCTCGATGTTAGCAGTTTTCATGTGCATGTCACGGCATTTCAACAAAAGCAAAATTTCCACTTTAGGAAATGACGCATCAGGTGGAATCTTCCCCACGGACCAATCATGAGCCAGCTTTTGACAATAGGTGGTTTTGCCCATCCCAGGATTCCCCTCGATCAGCACCACGCGTGGATTGTGGCATTCTGGATGTGACTTGAATATTTCTGTCATATTAACAGTGTAACCGGTTAGTTGTGAACGTTCTTTTGTTCTACTAACTATCTGTAGTCTTGTGAAGATGTTCGATAGCTTCAGTTGCAGTTCATCTTCACACCATGGAAAGGGACACAGCACAGCGCCTTTGTAGTCTCGTCTGATAAGTTCTACAAGTTTCTCTGGAATGACTAAGGCGTGAAAGAGAAATAAGACACAAACATGCCATCAAAAATTAGAAAAAAAAGCCTACGAAAAGGAACGTAAGGTAAACCACCCCTCCCACCCTCGT